TAAAAATCGACGCGTTTCAAAAAGGCAGGGCATAGAGGAGAAACAATAATGTACAGTATGTGGAAAATAATGTTTTTTTTACTTTAAACTGCATAAACACATTTCATTACACCAAATACACAAAATAATGTTCTTTTTAGCAGCATCATATGACCCCTTTAAGTAACAGATATGTGTGTCATGCCATAACATATTTTTAATACGACTGACTTTATATTTAATGTGAATTTAACATTGAAAGTTAATGTGAATAAAAACATTGTAAGTGAGGCTACTTATCATAACACTTTCATTGTACAGAAAGAGAGCAAAGAAAATGTACATTATCAAAGAACATTTTCACTGACAGTCTAGAGTTCAAGCACTCTCAAAACTCCCATTAAAATCACTGAAGCTGTTTACACTGTGAAATGAATATCTTACTTACAGAGTCATACACACATCTGCAGTTTGTTGTTTATAACCAGAGAATTCGCCAGAAAGAAGTATTCAGACAGCGAGAGAGTGAACAAAACACAGGCATTTTAGCGATGACTCATCTGAACGCCTCTGATTGGCCATTGCACTCATAAGCTCAACAGCATCGTGTGTAATTGGTTATAATGCGCAGTGCTGTAAAACGCCTCTGTATCTGGCTCAGCGCCAGCCAGCGAATGCAGATTTGAATTTTAGCAGCTGATGATATGACGCGCTGAACGATTTAATCATACTGATGTGATTGTATCAAATATAGAAAATATTATTTTGCAATTTTTTTTGTCTTTTGGAAGCTGCATTCAAAATCCACTTGGCTCAAAAATCTGAGGGGGCAAGTGCACTTGTACTTTGAATGGGCATGACGCCTCTGTTTGAGACTGTGTCTTATGGAAGTACTGTGCCTGACAACCGCTGCCATAAATATTCACAATACGGAACAACTTCTAGTGCCTTATTGCCTAATTAGACACATTCGTGCATTACTTATTAAAATCAATATCTTACTCATTAACATTAATTATATTATAATTAGTAGTTTATAATTAGTTATTATAATTAGTAGTTTACAAACATTTAGTAAATATGAAAATGTCAAAAGGTTTACTGACATTTCTGTCCGATCACCTATTAACTAATGAACTGTCAAATCATTATGTAACAATGACTAATTATAAACGGCTTGCTTTTTTGTTCCATTTTAAAACTGTAGTGATCTAATCAAAACAGGACTTGTGTTGTGGGCAGTAACTAGTAACTTAGTTACTGTAATATTATTACATTTTGCAGTAACTAGTAGTATAACTAATTACTAATAAGATTTCAGTAATAATATTAGTTACCATCCATAAAGCAGCTTAGTTACTTTTGATGCCTCAACCCCGCTGATTTAAAATCCAACAATCAAATAATTCCTAGATTTATTTTCACGACTCTCACATGCATGTGGTGTCCCCAGTGCAGCAGGCGAGCTTGGAGTATGGAAAAGCTTACATTCAGCAGATACAAATAAACTTGAATTGAATTTACTTTACTCTGGCATTACATCCCACCCACATCCCTCTGATCAGCATGTGGTACATTATATTACTATAATTCAAAATCTTTTTTGGAAAATAAAGTTTCTTACAAAATTATGTGATTTGATAAAATACATAATGAAAAAAAAGTAATGTAACTAGTAGTGTAACTAATTACTGTTGCCAGAACGTAATAAGTAAAGTAACAATATTAATTTTGAAACGAGTAACTAGTAATGAGTAATATATTACATTCTTTGAGTGACTAGCCCAACACTGGTTGTGGGGAACTTCAAGAAGAAAACAAAAAAGAAAAGAAGATAAAAAATAAGAGGAAAAAAGAGAAAATAATTAAGACATTAATTTGCTCTTTTGATTGAATGTTTGGGCGGCTCTTAAAAGAGCCTTTTTTTCCTTGAAAATCCGGTCCGGGTGAAACTTAACCGCCAAAACCATACAGTGTACGGCCTTGACGCTTCAGAGCGTACACTACGTCCATAGCGGTCACAGTCTTGCGCTTGGCATGTTCGGTGTATGTTACAGCGTCGCGAATAACATTTTCAAGAAACACTTTCAGTACACCTCGCGTCTCTTCATAGATCAGACCAGAAATACGCTTCACACCACCACGACGCGCTAGACGACGAATAGCTGGCTTTGTGATTCCTTGAATGTTGTCTCTCAAAACTTTGCGGTGACGTTTTGCACCACCTTTTCCAAGCCCCTTACCGCCTTTTCCTCGGCCAGACATGATAGCAGACTGCTATTCCCAGAAACTCGAATGAAACCGAAATGAATGGGCTTTCTTGGAAGGACTGACAAGTATATCTTTAAAGAGGACCTAGTGGAAACCATGCTTGGCTACAACCCCTCTGCGGGCGGGGCACACGCAACAATGCAAAATAAGTAGGGAAGTAGGTCTATTGAGCGCCAGTTTTCTTTTATTTGATTACATATCTTGGAATCGAATAAACTATATAACTAATAAACACGTATCAAGTGCGCTATGCTTCTGTTGTGGTATTCGCGATATTTCAGTAATTAGGATTGACCTGCTTAGCTCTTATTGTCGTAGTATGGTTGTTTGTCACTTCACAGTTTTTCCGAATGCTTCAATTTCATTCCTTTTAGGACGGATTTAGTGCGGATTTGCATTATATTTATGTTTTAGTGCGTAAATTTCAAACATTCAAAGAATAACCGATTCGAGTTCAGCGAAGATATGCAAATTGTATACAACTCTTCCGAGTGTTTTGATTGGTCCTAAGACAGTCTCGATTTCTATTTGTTATTTGCTGATGCTGATGATGACGCGTGGTGATTTGTCCCTGGTTTGAACGCCAGCCGGCTTGAACCGGTTTAACGAACAAAGAGGCAGGCAATAACTTCTTCTGATTTCACTTCACAGAGGCAAATAGCGTGTATAATTTCAATCAATTATTACAGAAGTCTTCTCAAATAATAAATAAGCACAAACCACTGACGATCAAGCAGTGATTTTACATTTATGATAATTTGCCTTATGCTCTACAACAACAGCAGCAGCAGTGCAATCAAATCAAATGTAAAACATAATAAAGAGAAGATTTGCAGTAAACTGCAGAGCTCTGTATAGTTAGAAATAGGAAGACTAATGGTTGTAACATCAGGGGACTTTGATTCCATTGAAGAGTGCAGATCAATCAGAATGCAGATAAATATTTAGCTTTCAGACATTTCAGCTTTGGGATTTCAGCTTCCATCATACCCCAGTGGCTGAAAATGAGAGAAAAGGAACAATATTAAACCAATCCTGTCAGAAAAATAAAACACTCTTTGCATACTTTCTTGACTACGGATTTATGAATATAGAGAGGTTTGTACTAAGACAAAATAATTAGTATTACTTTTGTCACAATATTAAGCACACCAAACTCAAAGAACAAAGACTTCATAAAATCCTTTGTCTTTTACCTGGTAAACTCCCTCTTCATAGCCTGGCTCAGGACGATGCCATATCTGATTGGATAAGATTTTCAAAACAACCAATCCAAATGCTACAATGATAACTCCCAATGAATTTGCAGTTATTGCCTCTGGTGGTAATGCGGAATAAGGCAGAGTCCCATTGGTGTTTCCTTTTCTGAGGAAAGAACCAATAGTACAACGCATTTGCCATGACAATACACTAAATCTATTGTGAGTTCTACATTTATGAATGCATGTTTTTTTTACCCACTTCTTTATACCTCATACCTCAAATCTTAAAACATATTGATTTTAGCATAATGATCAGATCAGATCAGATTGATTAGAGCTTAATGATCAGATCTAGTCAAACAGCACTGAACGCTCCATGAAGATCTCTCTAACATTAATAGCCATATGTGACCCTGGACCACAAAACCAGTCTTAAGTCGCTGGGGTATATTTGTAGCAATAGCCAAAAATACATTGTATGTGTCAAAATTATTTATTTTTCTTTTATGCCAAAAATCATTAGGATATTAAGTAAAGATCATATTCCATGAAGATATTTTGTAAATTTCCTACTGTAAATCTATTAAAACTTAATTTTTGATTAGTAATATGCATGGCTAAGAACTTCATTTGGACAACTTTAAAGGTGATTTTCTCAATTTTTATTTTTTTGCACCCTCAGATTCCAGATTTTCAAATAGTTGTATCTCGGCCAAATATTATCCTATCCTAACAAACCATACATCAACGGAAAGCTTATTTTTATATTTTGAAAAATTGACACTTAAGACTGGTTTTGTGGTCCAGGGTCACATATATAATTAAGTTAAATATAAGTTCTTCAAGTCTTCACTGCAAAAGCTAATGCATAGCACTCAGTTTATGTAGTGTGATCACTTACAGTGCAAAAAAGAGTTTTTCATTGATCCCTGAGATGCAGGACACAATGCTCAGTACCAAGATGATTCCTCCCATCCAAACATGAGTTGGCTTTATAAAAGCACGTGCTGATATTGGAGTGCAGGGTAAGAGGAATGCGGTAAAACCCATAACCCACTAGAAAAAGCATCAGAAAAACTGAGAATTTCTTTAATTCTTACATCACTGATAATTTCAAACATTTTGGATACAGACAATGTCGTTTAGCATATTCATATGTAGATGGTTAATTGTTTAGCCACTATTAAACTTCTTATTTACAGAAACAACTGAAGATGTACCACTACACTGTACATTAACACTTTTCAACATGATACTCACCTGTGCAGTAAAAAGCGCAGTGGTACAAATCCCCACCCAGCTATGGAGGGAATAAAGGTTGGATATGTGGTTTGCGTTGTGGTAGTTGAACACCGCACAAAGCCCGATAACAGAAAGAATGAAAGAAAGGAGCAGAAGTCCAGCATGTAACAGCTTCCACGGGAGCTTATTGTGACCCCATGTCAGAGGAATACGGTACACTATGGCCGCTGGTTAATAGAGGAAAAAAAGACACTGATGTCAGAAAGTCTGTTCAACTGATAAAACTGACAAAAGTTAGAAGTCAACATAATGTAATATTTAGCCAAATAGTCTAATATTTCAATGTAACATGCCAAACTTAAATCTAACAATAAAACAACCACACACTTTTTACAACACATTAACGGTGCAATGTTGTGTTATCATATTATAGCTACAGTAGCATGAAACACAAGCCGAAACAATACCCAACCAAACATACCATTCCCATAAAGCACCACCATGCCAGTGACCATGAAGACCGGGTGCCAGTTGAAGTGCTTGGCTGAGCCGTCCCATGCAAATCCACCTCGATAGCTGTAATTCCAGTGAACTACTAATGCCACACAGATGATCCCCAATATCAGGCACAGCATATAGGTTAGATAAAATGCAACAATTCCTCTCATCCTGTGAGTGCTGCAGAGACAGGCAATGCACATGAATATTCATTAAGCTATTTATCTTGAGAAATTAACTTTACCTGACACATGTATTAAATGTACACTGAATTATAGATGTGTTTACAAAGACATAAGCAACATTAATAGCCATTTTCTAATATTTTAACTTAAAAATATCTCAAAATCAAACAGTCTAGTGATTTTCAGGTTTAATTTTAAACAGAGCAACCAAGGTGTATAAGGCAGTTTTTAATAAGAGTAGCACATCTGAATGTGCAGTACCTTTATCTGATGTCTTACAAATTTCAAACAGCCTCGTGACAGCGTTTTTTGTTGATCTCAGTTCCTCTTTCCATGATTCCCCATTATGATTTTCGATTTCGTCTACACACAGACCAGATGGCAAACAAACAATAACAGAAATGAGGAACAGCAAAAACGGACAAACTAGCAGTGATAAGGATGAATTGGACATTGTCACTCAAGACTACAAATACCGTACAAATAGAGAACTTTATAACAGAGAACTGTTCAAAGTACTTCCATGAGGCAAAGAAACAATGTAACAAAAATTTGTTGTTCTAAAAAATAAGACCTGTCCGATTAATGCATAGGCTTAGAGGGAGTGCTTTATTATTTCAAAAATTTTGTAGGTTTACATTATTATTGTAGTTTGAATCTTAAAGGGTTTTTCTTTCTGTGACATAATGCCAGTATGAGGACACTCGAAAACAGACGAAGTACCCGCGCAAACTGTTTTCAATATTGACTGTTAACATAAGATAAGCTGATTTTACTATTTGTCAGGCAAGAGAGAAAACGTACACAAACTTTAACGACCAAGCTTATGATATTTTTGGGAAACGTAGCCGTTTGGCGATATGACAATTTCCTGTTTAACCGCGAGGCTGCATGGGAAGTGTAGTGGACACAACCTAATTTACGAATGAAAGATTATGTGTAAATATTATTTGTTAGATTACATTTCGATTACTTTTCGGCAAAACACCCAGATAAATTACTACAGAAGTATAAATAAATAAATAAAACTAGCAATTTAAAAACAAACAAACAAAAGAAAAGTGATACTTTTACCTCATGAGATCTGTCTTTAGACGGAAATTAAACTTTGCTGCCAATACCATTACATAAGACAAATGTCCCAAAATTATTAAGTCTGTTTTATCACAAGTTATGGATTTTGGACACTACATCATCACAATGCACACAAGCCCACATATATTTGCATTACAATGAATCCGCATAATGCAGAGAATGATCACGTTTTAATGAGGATTTTAATAAGAGGAAGAAATTATGAAAGCCTTTCAACCACTGCCAAAACAAACACTGAACAAAACACACAAAACTTGTATAACAAATATATTTTATTTTAGGATCATGTATTTTTCTTCTGCACTCCTGTGGTTTGGAATCAGAGGATTCTACTCTAAAGAATCTGTTTTGATCCACTCCATTCCCTAGAGCAGGGCTGTCCAAACTCGGTCCTGGAGGGCCGGTGTCCTGCAGTTTAGCTCCAACTTGCCTCAACACACCTGACTCGAAGTTTATATGCCTAGTAAGAGCTTGATTAGCTGGTTCAGGTGTGTTTAATTAGGGTTGGAGCTAAACTCTGCAGGACACCGGCCTCCAGGACCGAGTTTGGACAGCCCTGCCCTAGAGCAGTCGTTCCCATCCCAGGTCCTGGAGGCACCCCAACACTGCACGTTTTGCATGTCTCCTTAATCAAACACACCTGATTCAGGTCATCAGCTCATTAGTAGAAACTCCAAGACCTGAACTTGGTGTGTCAGAGAAAGAAGACATGCAAAATGAGCAGTGTTTGGGTGCCTCCAGGACCAGGGATGGGAACCACTGCCCTAGAGGTTGAAATCCTACTTTTCCAGATCAGGTGACCTCTGGTGGCGAGCAGGCTGAAATGCAGTTTTTACATATATATGAAACATCTTTCAAGTAACAGAGAAGTATGCGAGTTCTATATTCAGAACCTTAAGATTTAAAACGTTGTCACAATCATTAAGGGAAAAACGAATATACACATACACTGCTTTTATTAGTTCACAAAATAATCACATGTAAACATCTAATTCAAGATCATAACACGAATCACAATTTTGTATACAAAATGGGAAATAATGCAATCAAAACATATGTAGTAACACCACACATTTAATAATAATAAAAATCTTAAATATGTTTTTTTTTTTTAAATGTAACTAATGCTTGTAAACAGTGGCATAACATCTTATCTAAGGTAAGCCATGCACAAAAAAAAAATCAAAAGCATAACTTTGCTCTCTGAGGAGAATATGGTGGTGAAAATATTTGCATGTTTCCAGTCACTCATCTTCATATTTAAAGTAACCATTACTAATTGCCTTTGCAATGATATTTTCTGCTGACAGCCGTTGGTCTAAATAGATTAATGCTTCAATAAGACTGTTGAAATCTGCCTTCAGTCCCTCCTTTTCCATCCAGATTTTTAACAGTTCGTAAATTCTGTCTTCTGAAAAAAGAGACTCTGCACTTTTGATTGAATTATCACTCAGTCCAATGAACCTGAAGAATCTGTTATGATAGTGGACATCCATTTCTTCAAAGAAATCAAAGGTTTTCTTCAACGATTCTTCTCCTGAAAAGGTGAGACAGAGTGAAAACACTGCAGCATAACTCATTATTTTTAGGAATGATAATTTAAGGAATAGTTCACCCAAAAATGTAAGGTCTGTCATAGGGGCCTAGCCAGAAATGTTTAACTGGGTGGGCCTACATAAAACAGGGTGGGCAAAGTGTAGCATATGTAAACTGCATGTCAAACTGCCAACAGAAAATACAGCACAAATTCAATACACAATACTTATAAATCATTGATTAATGTTAATTTAAAAATGTACTAATAAATTATTAAAATTAAAAGTTGTATCTGTTAGCATTTGTACCTGAGCTAACGTTAAAGGGATAGTTCACCCAAAAATGAAAATTTAATGTTTATCTGCTTACCCCCAGGGCATCCAAGATGTAGGTGACTGTTTCTTCAGTAGAACACATATGATTATTTTTAACTTTAACCGTTGCAGTCTATCAGTCGTATAATGCATGGCAATGGTAACAAAATCTATGAGAGTAAAAAAAATATGCACAGACAAATCCAAATGAAACCCTGCGGCTCGTGACGACACATTGATGTCCTAAGACACGAAACGATCGGTTTGTGCCAGAAACCGAACAGTATTTATATCATATTTTACCTCTAATACACCACTATGTCCAACTGTCTTTGGGCGCGCACGGCATCCGGTGCGTGAGGCAACGGTTAAAGTTAAAAATCATCATATGTGTTCTACTGAAGAAACAAAGTCACCTACATCTTGGATGCCCTGGGGGTAAGCAGATAAACATCAAATTTTCATCTTTGGGTGAACTATCCCTTTAACAAAGATGAATAAACACTGCAACAAATGTATTGCTCATTGTTAATGTTAGTTAATGCATTAACTAACATTAACTAAAGGAAGTTTATTGTAAAACATTATCTCAGTCTGAGATAACGGGGCTTCGCGGATGATCTGATAATCAATTCTCTCTCTGTCAGTTCTCTGTAGAAATGCATGCAGTTAGTTGTGAATAGTATCTTGCACAACGTTTATGTGTTTCTTTCCACAAAGGACGCATCTGTTTAAAGCAGGGGTCGGGAACCTAAAGAGCCAAAAGAGCCAATTTTTTATTTTTGGTTAATGCATTTTTCCAAAAGAGCCAATATATATATTATTATATATATAATATATATATAGCCTAATATTATTAAAAAAATGCATGTTTTCTTTTTTTCAATAACGTTTAAATAATAGTAACTTTATTAGGACCATGGAAACTAAAATACACAAATATTCAACTAACCGTCAAAAATTGTGCAGGGCTTTTACTGTGATGTTGATTTACAAGGGGTTTACGGTGTTGAAAATATCAAGCATGTCCCGCTCTTTACTGTCTCATTCATTCACGTTCCTTTATTAATAACGCTAACAGTCCCACACGCTGAAAGCTGCGCGGAAAAAAGCGGAAGTAACCGGCGAAATGTTTCATACTGGCTCTTGGCACAGGAGGACACCATCTTCTATAGAAAGTACATGTTTCAGTCCTGTCATTTTTACATACTTTTACACTTTTTCTGCTGTTCAAAAAATCTTTATTTTCGCTATAATCACAAACAAGCTAACGTTAGAATCTGAGTGCAGGAGCTCTACGTTACCATAAGGGCCTTTCGCACTGCTTTAGTTCCAGAACTAAATGTACAGTACTAAAGTACTGGGACGATTTTGCGTGAACTATTTCCCAGTACCATTTAAAGGGTTTCATTCGCACCGACAGTGTGTACTAGGAAGTGACGTAAGCCGGTCGACAGCGACGTTATTTGTGCGCGGCGCTCAACAACGGAAACAAAGAAGAACAACGTTAACAACAGGAGGATGGAGTCGTATGCGTTTGGCCAATCAATGTCTACTTACGTCACGATTAGTACCAGTTGTGCTGGTTAGACCCTGCTCCGGAATAGGAGCTAATTTGGTTCTCGAAAAAGGCAGTCCGGTACTAAAATCATACCCAGTTCCGGCGGTGCGAGAACGCCAAAAAGTGGGTAGTTCCACAATTAGTTCTGGTACTATGAAAAGGTTCCCGCGGTGCGAAAGGCCCTATAGACACGTCAGTGGTTTGCTGTCATGACTCTCGTGAACAGCACTGAACGCGCTCTTTGGCCAGTACAAAAAATGTATTATTATTTTAAACATTTTATCATCTTATGTGGTCTCTACAACAAAGGAATTGCTGATCTCTAGTGATGTATAGTTTTTGTAAAACATCATTTGTTGGTAAAGGGTGAGAGATCCTGCGAGCCACATGATTTTTGTCAAAGAGCCAGCTGTGTCTCGCGAGCCATAGGTTCCCGACCACTGGTTTAGAGGATCAAACACTGTACATATGCTATGCTTCAAACACGCTTGGTTCAGAAGTTCCCGATCGATAAATCCATCACCTGCAAGTGGTTTGTTGAGTTTCATTTGTAGACGGCCCGGATTCATTACTAAGAGTTTTTAAAGAATTGATCCGATTGATGTTTTCCGAAAACATAACATTCTTGTAGGCGAGACTTGATGTTGGACGTTAGATATTCGCAAATTTAGGGACCGTCTCTAAAGTTACATACGACATTGGTATTCACGTTTCTAACTTCAATAGCATTTGAAGAGAATGACTTCCAATCATAAAACCAACTTTAAAGGGCTCCTATTATGCTTTTTCACTTTTTCAACTTTAGTTAGTCTGTAATGTTGCTGCTTGAGCATAAAAAAGATCTGCAAAGTTACAAACCTCAAAGTCCACTTCAAAAGGAGATATTTTATTTCACGAGTTCACACTTACATATAATAAACTGAGTAAAGGTTATGCGTATTTGGCGTGCTGTCTGGGGAGAGGGCTCCGAGCTCGGTAATCACTCTCAAGCCCGGGGTACTCCCCCTGTCCGGGGAGAGGGTTTGGCGTGCTGTCCGGGGAGAGGGCTCCGATCTCGGTCATTACTCTCAAGCCCGGGGTACTCCCCCTGTCCGGGGAGAGGGGTCCGAGCTCTGTTTTTAGCCCGGACCCAGAGCGCTCCCCCTGAGTGCTCCTCCCTGTGCTGGGGTAGGAACGGGCTGAAGGCGAGGAGTCGGGGTGGTGGAGGGATGCTGAAAGACTAGAGATAGTGAAGGTAAGACTGCTTTGATTATTTATAGGGGTTCTCTCTTGTGCTGGTTGGATAGATGGTGTAATTACTGATGATGAACTGGCCGTGTTAATTATCTGTGTGTGCTCCTCCCGAAATTTGTTAATAAAACATCACTTCACGAGTTCACACTTACATATAATAAACTGAGTAAAGGTTATGCGTATTTGGCGTGCTGTCCGGGGAGAGGTCGTCCGAGCTCGGTTTTAAGCCCGGACCCAAAGCGCTCCCCCAAAGATGCAATTAGTACAGGACAGCAGCCAGAGAGGAGCGTTGATAACCCCCCAAAATTAGCAAAGCTTAAGATTGGTGGGGTGCTGGACGTCGCTTGTATTAGCGGCACTGCTGAGGCTTTAGAAGAGAGAACTAGAGGTTCTGCGGAAGCGGGCGCTGCTGCGGCATCTGAAAAGAAAACTCCTGTGGGAGTGAGAACTGCTACGGCATCTCAAAAGAGAAAATGGCTTCTGCGGAAGCGAGCACTGCAGCGGCAGTGTAAAACACAGACAAAGGCTCCTGCGGAAGTGGGCACTGCTGCGGCATCTGAAAAGAGAAAATGGCTTCTGCGGAAGCGAGCACTGCAGCGGCAGTGTAAAATACAGACAAAGGCTCCTGTGGGAGCAGTCACTGCTGTGGCAGTGGGGAAATACAGACAAGGCTCCTGCGGGAGTAATCACTGCTGCGGCAGTGGGGAAATACAGATAAGGCTCCTGCGGGAGCAGTCACTGCAGCGGCACAGGGGAAATACAGATAAAGGCTCCTGCGGGAACAGTCACTGCTGCGGCAGTGGGGAAATACACATAAGGCTTCTGTGGGAGCAGCCACTGCTGCGGCAGTTGGGAAATACAGACAAAGGCTCCTGCGGGAGCAAACACTGCTGCGGCAGTGGGGAAATACAGATAAAGGCTCCTGCGGGAGCAGTCACTGCTGCGGCATCTGAAAAGAAAACTCCTGTGGGAGTGGGAACTGCTACGGCATCTCAAAAGAGAAAATGGCTTCTGCGGAAGAGAGCACTGCAGCGGCAGTGTAAAATACAGACAAAGGCTTCTGCGGGAGCAGTCACTGCTGCGGCAGAGAGGAAATACAGATAAAGGCTCCTGCGGGAGCAGACACTGCTGCGGCAGT